TTTGCCACAAAATAACAGACAGCATAAAGGGTTTTCGGCACATTCTTTTATTGAGAGTTCAATTTTAAATTTCACTCTTTTGTTCTTTAAAAAAAATGAGCTGTTTGTGCCCGATTTATTGCTTAAATTTCAATTAGCAATGGCCCAGATTTCATGTGTTCCAAATTCTCTTGCGACTGGCTTTAATTAGCATTCTCATTATAATAAATGTTCACAAATCCTGGGGCCCACCCTTTTTCCGTGGAAAGTCGGTCCCAGGGGAACATTAAATAAATGTGGAGACTGGAGTTAAGCCGAAAGTTGTTTTTACGCATTAGGCAAAGGATACGCAGAGTCGGAGGAGAGCTCTTGCTCGATGATGATGTCGCCAAAGTCTTGTCAACATCCAAAAGCATTCTTTATGCTTCTCATTTTTAATATTTTGCCTCACTTTGCGGTTGTGGAAAAATTAACAACTTCATATGTCAGCAGTGATATCTTCATGCCCCATGCCACACACACACCACCTCGCATAAAAGTGTATTCCCCGTTGTCGCAGCTTTATCATTTGTGCCACACACGAGCATGAGGATGGGGAGAGGACGGTCTCTGTGGCTTTAAGTGAAGCTCATTTGCATGAATTGCTTTAGCAGTTGTTGTTTCTGGTGCTCGTGCTGCTTTCCTGCTTGGTAGCTCTTATCAAGCGGCGACCAACACTCCATAAATTGTCTAAAATTAGCCATAAACAAAGGCAAGCTGGGAAAACAAAACAGCTTTGCTGCAACAATCTCTCAAGAGTGTAGCAACCTGCCAGCAGCCCCTGCTTGACACCCTCTCTTAAGCTCGTTATGCTCTATTATAGTAGTATACCCCACACCTCCTTCAACGCGCCATCCATGGCAACCTCCATAATCATCATCATCCGCATGCTGCCGGCGGAGAGGAAGGGCAAAAAAATCAGAAAACAGAAACAGAGAAAATATGTCTGTTGTTTCTGCGGGCCTTCGTGGAGTGGCCTTTTGATTTCCGTTGGCATAATTTATTATTATCCCGACGCAAAATAAAATAATTTGTATAAAAGCCATTGCCTAGGGAGATGGGCAGATGGGGGATAAAGAAAACCGAAACTGGGCGAGCCCTAAAAACAAAAACCCAAATATCAAAAAAAAACCTTAAAAAAACCAAAGCAAAACAACACAAAAATAACAACAAATATGTAGGTGCAAAATGGATCTGGGCTGTGGACCCAGGATGATCTGTGAATGCTCTTTGGATAGAAACGAATTTTTGTATAAGGCAAACTTTAAGTACTTTAAGTAGATAATTTTTGCAGAGGCAGCACAACTATTGCTTTACTTTTTTGGGCTCAAAATTGCATGTCATTAAAATTCTCGCATATTTGCAGATATTTGAAGCCTTTTGCCTTCACCAGTATACCCTTTATTTCTGTAGGGCAATCCTTCCAACCAACCTCCGCAAAAACAGAAAACTTCCGCTGCCCCAAAAGAGTATCCCCATTGTATTTATTTCTCTTTTGGGTGTTTTTTTAACCTCTTGGGTTCCCTTTTTTCCCCCTGTCAACCACAAGAACAACAACAACAATAGACAGTGTTCACACATTTTAAAGACCAACGCATTCCTGTTTGTTCTTTCAGCGCCCCTTCCTTGAGTTGTGTGGGGTTAAAGTTGGAAGTTCGAGGAGCTGTTACTTTTTTTATGGCCTACTGTGCCACTGACGCGGCGCCTGATTGAGCGTAAAGTTGTAAAACTTAAGGAGTGCTAAGTGCCCTCGGTCGTGGTGCTCCGTCTGGATCCTGTCCTGCCCCGATTATGGCCAATAAAGCACGCATGTCGTCGTCGCCAGAGCTCCGGGAGGAGCGACTGTGCTAAAAAATTAAATATGCCTCGGACGAGCTCTCCGGGCTGGGCTCTACTCTCGACTGTTTTCCACTACAGTTTAATATCCTTCTCTGAGGTGTGTTCACCGGACAATGTCCGGTTGGATTAACGGAGTGTGACACAGTGCGGGGGGGTGTGCGGTGTTGCGCTGTTGGTGGTATAAATTTATTAGCTTCTGGCTGGTTGGAAAAAGGGCCAAAAAGATGGAAGAGATTAACCTCAACTGACGAGCCACTTGTTCCGGGTTCTTGGGAAATCATTTATTTTAGTATTATCGCCCGGAGAGGTTGATTCCTTAAAAACAACAATTGATTTATTGACACTAAGGGCTAAGTGGGTAATTTATAATTGCTATGCAAGTTGAAAATTAGCCCGATGTTTACTGGGTAACCTTGTAGGCGATTGTGGACCATTTACGAAACAAAGCAGAACAAAAATCTAGGACTTGGCATACCCGAAAAACGATATTAAGTTCCCCTTTAAACTCGAGCTATCTCTGTCTTGCAGACTAGATAAGCGCTTTGGTGTAGTGGATCATCATTTTGGTCGTATTCCAGTACCCTTCAACGCCATCAACGCGATTTATAATCACTTCCTTGCGTTTCGAACCAAAACTCTTTCCCAATTAAATGAACCTGCATATGCGTATGTAGATATGTATTTACATATGTATCCAAATTAAATATGTAAATTGTCAAAATATGGTTTGCAATAAATAAACATCAAAAACACACCACATAGGCGACGCCACACCACTAATGTGGTGGTCTTCGCAACCGAAGAGACTTTTTCGACTTATTAATGGAAAAAGGATTTACTGGGCATTTGGATCACATTTGCTTGCGTTCCTTGCCTGCCAAACCTCTCCACCAAAATATAATACTCTTTCTGAAGAGTATAATGAATGGAAAATGCAGTCAAATTATTTGCAAATCCGAGGAGCACAGCAAATTGCTGTCGCAGTTTTTTTCGGTCGGGCGCCTCTGGAAGCCACACAAAACACAGACAGACACACACACACACACACACACATATCCAATAGTCAGGCTGGCGTCTGGAATATAAGCACACTTTTTATGCAAAACGAATTAAAATCCAATTATAAGCCAAAACCATGCGTTTGTACAGTGGGGAGAGGAGAGTGTTAGAAATTGGGAGTCTCGGACCAGCATACACACACACACTCTCAGAAACCCGCAAAAACCGCAGCACATGCAACGAAAATAGCCAGGACTGTCGCTCACTTTTGCCCGACAGATCTAGCTTTTTTTTAATGCCAACTGCCGGACTCTTGGCATTTTACACCTGTGTTTGGCTTTTTAACTCTTTACTTTTGGCAGCACTGAGCGAAGCAAGCAAAAGCAGATAAAAAGAGATAGCAGCGACGCTTGCAAAGATGGCGGACTGTACATCGGATTATCTCAGGCACTCGACTCGTCTCGTCATTTATATTTCAAGTCAATATTATCTTTTATATGAACTAATCGATAAGATTAGATTTGGATTTTAATTATAGTTGTTTCTACAATGCGTATTTCCAAATTTATTCAGACTTGTTTTCGAAAGGGGCTGTGGTTGTGGCCTGCCAATCCCTCTCTGGCGTCCTTTTTCTCCAGCTACGCGCAAATTAGCTTCCCTTAATCGTATTAGAATTGTGTTCCAAGCTCCATATCCACTTTTAAATAATAAATTCCTGCTTTTTTAGCACAACAATCTGTAACTCTCTTACCCGTAGAGTAGCTGGTATTAGAAAACAACTCCAATTACCTTTTAACTTAGTTTTATTTTTTTGGCTTTAATTGCAATCCTTTTGTAGCAAGAGCGAATTTTATCACACAATTTCGGTGTAGCCTGGAAATCCCTTGTGGCAATTAAAAAAGATCATTAAAAAGCCAGAGCGATGAGAGTATCAAATCAAATTAATTATACTCTCTTTTGATCCCCATTACTCGAAGAGTAAATAGGGTATATTGTCTTTGTGGGGAATAACGGTTGTATGTAACGCACAGAAGGAAGCGTTTCCGACCCCATAAAGTATATATATTCTTGATCAGCATCAATAGGCGAGTCGATAGAGCCATGTCTGTCTGTCCGTCTGTCCGTCTTGTTTGTCGGCTAGTTCTCAGAGACTATAAGAGCTAGAGCCACCAAATTTTGGCTCCGGACTGCTGTATGCTCACACTGAAACCAGTGTATTTCAAAAATGAGCCACGCCCCCTTACGCCCCCGCAAAAGGGCGAAAACCTCCCAAATCTACAATTTTTAAGATAAAAGAAAACAAAAAAAGCCATTCCGTAGGAAATGGCCATATCTACCAGTTCACCAAATTGGGATCCGATCGGATCATTATTATAGCCACAATGGAGAAATTAATTTCCAGTGGCTAAACCCACCTTGTCCCGCAGCTTTTGTTGCTCTTTTTACATTCTCTCATTCACACTCTACTTCTGCTTCACTCGTCCCCTGCCTCTGCCCTCCCTCTGCCGATGCCTTTTCCGACTTTTAACCCACCCCGTCGCGCAGCTTATATTTGTTTTTTTTTGTGTGTGCCGGCACTGCCTCTGCCGCGAGTCTGCCGCGGTCTAGGGAAGGGCGGCGAGCTAAAGGAGCGTGTTGATGTGAGAAGTGTTGTAGATGTAGATGACAGATGAAGAAAAAATATAAAATTTGACAAATAACCGCTAAAGTGCAGATGTATAAAAGTTGTGACGCGTAAGAAGCGTCTCACACGTCCCTTCTCGTTCTACTTGTTGTTTAGGCAGCTTATAAAGATTATATGGGACCAGTTTTACCCTTTGTTTCCCCTTTTTTTCCATTTCTACTTCTCGTCGTTCGTTTCTGTTGTCTTTCGTCTGGCTCTTAAGACTTTTTCGCATTTCTCTTTTGCTCTTTTCAAGTGGGGTTCCTTTTTGGGTTTTTCCTACTAATTTTCATTAATTGTTAAAACATTTTTTTACGCTTAGAAGAGCAACCCTCCAATTGTACATTTTCTGTTGTTGAAGTTTAAATTTAAAGTTATTAATTAATTTTAAATCATTTATATTTATTATGTATACATATATAATTTTTACAAGTTTTCGTAAAGCTAGCTCGAAATGGTTTTTGTTTTTTTAAGGTATATATTTGTGTATTCGTTTTTGTTGTTCTAATTTGAAATTTGGTTTTTGGTAAATTTTAGCATAATCTTTAGACAGTTCGCAAGAAAGGTTGTGTAAGGGTCTAAAATATGAGCCATATATGATGACAATTTTCGTTTTTTTCTACACTATGTAAGGGGGCTGGGCCGGGGGGGGGTTAGCTACTTAAATACATTGAAGTCTCAGTGGAGTAGATGAAGGTTTTCTTTTTAGGTGCTAGAAGCGACACACACGGTCCAAGGGGGAGGAGGGGCTTCTCAACAATTGCATCAGTTGCAACAATTGAAAGTTTAACTAAGCCAAAAAACAATAAAACCAGTGTGCAGCGCAAAGCAGGAAAAGGAATTTGTTTTTTGTATATTTCACTTGAAGATTTGCTTGTCAGTTGGTTTTCTTTTTCTTTTTTTCTACATTAGAGCAGCTCCTCGTTGGCATCTGCTAGCGGTGCGGGGCGTATCAGGTGGTCGCGTCGCCTAATGCGGTTTAAGACGCGCACCTGATTGGGTTCCCCGTCCCGGTCACCGTACAGATCGGCATACTCCTCGGGCACCTCTGCCATATCCACACCCAAGAGGTTGGCCACAAGTTCCTTTTCCTTTTCGCGACGCTCCTTGAGATCGCGTGCCTTTTGCTCCTCCTCCTGCTGTTGCTGCTTCTTGCGATTCTCGTAGTTGACCAGACGCTGCCCCACCAAGTACTTGTCCACCTTGATCGATAGATACAGCTTCTTCAGCTGCTTGATCTGGAAGAGCACAAAACAGATGGTGCCCACGACGACAAAGCTGACGGGATACACCAGCCGATAGATGTAATGCTGCGTGTAGCGATTCACAAAGAACATGGGCAGCACCATCTGCGCCATTACATAGGGTATGGCCAGGGCCAGTCCAAAGGTGGTCACCACTGGCACGGCCAGATCCCGCATCACGAACTTCAGATCGAAATCTCGCAGTCCGTCCGTGTAGGCGCGCTCCAGGGCACGTCGCAGATGCCACTCGGGCCCCATGAGGGTCAGGGCAATGGCTATTTTGGTGTAGAGCATGCCCAGCGCCCAGTCCTGCCACAGGAAGTGTATCGGCGTCTTGAGCAGGGGCACACGCAGCGGTATGACCACCACCAGCTCCAGCAGCAGTCCAAACAGCAGCGGCACCAGCACAAAGATGCCCACCAGCGTGATCACGGGCAGCGCATACTGCAGCGTCACGGAGGCCCATTGCTTCAGCTTGTTCACAATTGCCGTGCGTCCTTGGGGCAGCAGGGTGGCCACCACAGCCACGCCGCGCAGCACAATCCAGCACAAGTAGCCGCCAATCTCCGCGGTGTAGAGCTCATGGGCGCGCAGCAAACGCTCGTTCTTCCGGATCGCCTCGGGATCCACAACGGGCAGCGGTGCGCCCTCTGGCGCAGCGGCAGGAACAGCAGCAGCAACAGCTGCCGCTGCCTTCTCGCCTGGTTGTCCCGTCCAGAGCACCATCAGACGGCGACCAATGTACACGGGCACCGTGAGCGTTAGGATGGCCGCGCAGACAATCGACAGGCACATCAGCGTCAGCAGCGCGCACAGGCGGAAGGCAAAGAGTGTCGGCTTCTCGTACGGCTGGAAGCCCACAGGGGCATCCCGCTGCATGATGGCTTGATGTGCGGCGGCCAGATTTCGCAAATGTATGGGAAACGGATCCACAGGTGGCGGCGGTGGTGGTGGCGGTGCCTGTGGCGCCACATCCGGATTGGCATTCTCAACGGCAGCAGCGTCCACGCCCTCGCCCTCGGCAGCAGCAGGCGGCTCGGGCTCCGGCGCGGGCAAGAGGTAGCTGCGTATGCCCAGAAGCCAGGAGACAGCCGTGCACCAGATGCGGAGCACGGCCTTCATCCAGATGCGCGTTTGGGTTTGCTCAAAGAATCCAGGCAAGACAATCTGTGGAGAGGTTTAGAGTGGTTTAAATGGCACTGCCAGAGAGTGGGAAGGGACTCACCTGCAGCAGCAGCAGTTGCAGACTCAAATCATTGACCGCCGCATCACCGCTCAAAGCATAGGGCAAGAAATTCGGCCAGGCCACCTGCAGAATGCGTATGGGGAGCCACAGCATAAGCAGCACAGAAAAGCCAAAGATCATGGCGGAAGCCACGAGTCGCCTTATGTGCCGCACAATGGGCACATGGATCATCTCCTGAATGGGACTAAAGTCCGGATCGTTGACATTGCGAAAGATCCAGAGCACGCCGGGACGCAGCACCTCGCGCAGCAGCGAAATGAACGCAGCAAAGTAGTAGACATAAACCATGCCGAACATCCAGTGGATGAAGAGTGAGGTGCCTGGTGCCGCCTTGAAGCTCGCCTTGCGATCCTTTAGACTGGCATCGAGCAGCGGCAGCGAGCAAATGTCCAGCCACCAGCCGCAGACGAGCGGCAGCACGCCAATCTCCACGACAGAGAGCAGCGAGACCTTCACCACAATGTAGCACAGGCCGATGAACCAGCAGACGCGACGCATGCAAAAGATCCTAGCCAGAAAGTGCAGCACGACGAGCGTCAGGCCAATGCAGCAGTAGCCAAAGAGCGTCGTAATCAGGCCGTGGAAGTGCAGCAAAGGCTTCTCCGGCTGCAGCAGGTCCATGGAGCTGAGTATGAAGTTGCCCACGCAATACGGACAGAAAGCGAACGTAAAGATGAACATCGTGTTGAGCGAAATGATCCAGAAGACGTGCTCCAGGAACACCAGTGAACCGTCTAGACCCAGGAGACGCTCCCAGGTGAGCTCCTCGGCTGCACGATCCCACTCCATGGGGTTCCAGTTCTGTTCGTCGGCATCGGCTTCTCCTGGAGCGGCTGCGGCTGCTGCATTTGCTGGATCTCCGGCTGCGCCTTGGGCATCGCCTGCGTTGTCGGCTGGGGCTGGTGCTGCATTGTCCATGGGCAAATCCTGCGGCGCCTCGCCATTGTTGTTGTCATCCTGGGCGGCAGCAGCAGCGGCTGCCGCATCGGCTGGTGGAGCGGCGGCAGGTGCTGGAGCTGCAGCCGCCGCTGCAGCGGGTTGAGCGGCTGCTGGGGCATCGTCGCGTTCGAGCCAATCGGGTCCGCCTCCATGCAGAATCTGCTCCCGCAGCCAGACGAGACCAATGAAGGAGAGCAGCGTACAGGTGACGACAAAGCAGCCGCGGAACGCATCCGATGGCAGATTGTCCATGGAGAAGATGTCAAACGGCAGCGAGAGGATCATGTCAAAGGAGTTGGCCCGGAAGAGATAGCGATAGGTGCGATATGCGGACAGCGGCACCAGTCCGAACCAGGCGAGGCCCACCAGCGAGTAGTGCAGCCAGCAGCGGGCGCCCTCCAGCACCGCAGACATGAGCCCGACCAGCACATCCTTGACGGGCAGCACGCGCGGCATATCCGGTGAATAGATGGGCTGAAAGCTGAACAGATGGCCGCACAGCTCGCAGTACTCCTTGTGAGAGTAGCGCATCCATTGCATCAGGCAGTCCTGATGGATGTACTTAATGCTGCCCGTGCAAATGCACGGATAGAAGAGTGGCCGATCCGGCTGCGCCTCGCAGCGGCACACGCGACATATGTCGCCCTGCGACAAATCATCCATTGCTGGAGATCTTTCTCCTGGTTTGTCTCTCTATTTTGCCGTCCGACAAGTGCCAACGGTCATTTGCGCAGCGCAGTTTAACGAGGGTCGCTAATTGGGGGACGTAGACGACGACGACGTCGATTGGATTTGGATTTGGCTGCTTGGCAAATGTTGCGCAGCTATTTGGTGTGGCTTTAGGTATGTTCACTTGGTCGTGGGCGCGCAAAACTAACACCTGAATTTAGTGGCGAAAACACGCAATGGTTCTCTTGATATTATTACGACAAGCAAAAATATATCACAAAAAAGTGGCTGCCACTGAGCCACTGAGCGAGCGAGTGTGTGTGAACACTTTTGAATTTCGAGAAATTACTGAAATTAGAGATGCGTGTCAAGTCACGTGAGGAAAAAACGGTGACACGATTGAAGGAAAATGGTGTCATATGTTTTATTTTAAAATAAATAACGAAAAGCAGCTTGTTAAGTTTAAGTAAAATTCAAAACTATGACATTTAGAATACAAATAAACTAAAAATAAATAAATATAACAACTAAAATGAGTAAACCTTGACTTGTAGTTATCATCTCTATTGCGGCAGTGTGCACACACTAAGAAAAAACCAACCATCTGGCAGCGCCACACAAATCAGCTGGACAGTCGACCATTGTTTTTGTCATTTGTCAGGCCACAAATATCAATTCTCGTAACATTACTGCTTGAAAAAAAACATGCAGCGAAAATTACTAAACACGCTGGGACGCGGCACGCGTCAACTCATCCATGGACAGCAGATGCGTGCACTGTCAGTGTCGTCGCAGCAGCGGGAGATCTTCAAAGTGCAGAGCGCCGAGGATTTCGACAAAAAGGTGAAGAACAGCCAGACACCCGTGATTGTGGACTTTTTCGCAACGTGAGTGAGGGATGCCGCTTGCCATTAAAACTCCTACTAAATCTGTTCTGTTCCCCCCCTAGCTGGTGCAATCCCTGCAAGCTGCTGACGCCGCGCATTGAAAATATTGTGGGCGAAAATGCTGGCTCCATAAAGCTGGCCAAAGTGGACATCGATGAGCACAGCGAGCTGGCCCTCGACTACGATGTTGGCGCCGTGCCTGTGTTGGTTGTGCTGCAGAATGGCAAGGAGATTAAGCGCATGATTGGACTCCAGGATGAGGACAAAATACGCGCCTGGGTCGCTGCCGCCGTGAAGGAATCCAAGAACTAAGTTCAGCAGAAAAAAATGGAGCCTAAGCTTTAAGTTAAAACTTCTTTGGACTTTCGAAATAAATGTTTAATTACAACCGTTGCAACAACAAATACAACAAATAGCTTAAATGCTAAGCCTTAAATTTATTCGCCTAAATGGAGTACCAGCCGGGCGTGCCGGGGCGCTTCTTGTTGCGATCGAGGAACTTGCGGAAACCATCCTTGGACTCGTCCATGGACTTCTCCTCCTTCTCCTGCTTCTCGGCCTTATTTTCGAACAGTTCGGGAAAGGTAAATGCCTCAGTTTTTGGCTGCAAGTAAGGGAGTAAACATTATTGTCCCCCACGGAGCTGCCGCACTTACCAGCGTTACATAAGCATATTTGACATCATCTTTTTTTGTGACGTAGCCGTAGGTTTGGTCCCGCCTAGTCTCGCCCATGGCAATGCGTGTGCGCACATCTATCACAGGCAGCTTGTAGATCTTCTCCAGGTAGCTGCGCACATCGTGGATCGTCATTTCCGTGGACACCGCAAATGTGACCACATTGGGCGGCTGCGGCTCCACCGGCCGCACCAGTTTCATCCAGAAGTTTGGCAGGAACACGCGCAGCTGCGGATTGCCGCGTTGATAGATGGGATACCAGCGTGTGGACATGGTTTGAATGTTGATTTGTTTGTTTCTTTATTCAGAAAAATGCAAATTAAACTATTATTTATTGCAACCGAGGACTTATCGATAAGAAATACCGCATTGCGGTTCAAAATATACCGCAATATACCGTAAATATACCGTAAATTATATTGTTTATGTCTATTTTAATATTCTAATTGATATTAGAACCCTCAGCACTAAACCTTGCCCTTTATTGGATTCATCCTTCAATTCTGCACAAGATTGGTGGTTTCTTATGACTTCCTTTTGGTTTGTTTACAAAATAAAATAAGTGCCAAAAAGCGCAGGTGCACACACGTGCTACCCAGCACTGTTCGTCAAACAGCTGATTCGAGCCGAATTTTTAAATGTGATTCTAAGGAATATCCGCTAAAAAAAATGGTTAAAATAAAGAAAAAGGAGCCTATGAAGAAGCGTCTCACCCGCAAGGAGCAGCGCAAGCAGAAGCAGGAGGTGAAGAAAACCCACAAGCGGCTCTACCATGCGGGGAAAACAAACGGTGCACAGCGCGTGGCCGATGCGGAAGCGGCTGCCGCTGCAGCGCAGTCTTCAAAGGGTGGCCGCAAGAAGAAGAAGAAGAAGGCGAAAGTGAATCCCGAAGAGATCCCGCTGGAACAGCTACTCTCCGGGGAAGTGGATGACGATGATGACGAGTCCATTGCCTCGGACTTCAGCGATGCCGAAGTCGATGCCCTGCTGCCCGCCAGCCGCAAGGTGGAGACCTACGAACCGCTGAGCAAGCAGCCAAAGGCACAGCGGGGCGCCATCCAGCGCCAGGATGAGGTGGAGATGCGCAAACGTGAGCTGCGCCAACAGAAGGAGCTGCAGGGCAAGGCGCGCAAGCAGCGGGTGAAGCAGCTTAAGGTGGACAACGAGGAGGAGGATCGCGAGATTGCCAAGCTGGAGAAGAAGCTGAAGCTGAACAAGAGCAAGGACAAGAATCGCCTCGTGCGCAAAATGTTCAACGATGGCCTGGACTATCTGCTGGACTTTTGCCTGGACGATGATGAGGAGAAGCAAAAGTGGGAGGAGAAGCAGGAGCGAAAGCGCCAGATGAGAGAGCAGCAGGAGAAGGAAGAGGCGGGCATGTGGAGCGACGAGGAAGAGGAGGAGGAGGATGAAGATGAGGCACAGGACATGCCAGAGGATGACAGTGAACAGAGCGGGGAGAGCGGCATGGAGGAGTCGGTAGAGGAGCACAGCGAAGAGGAGGATGAAGATCAGTCGGAGGATGAGCCGCAGTCGAAAAGTGAGTAGATTTCAACTGCCAAAAACTTCATTAAACCCAACTTTACCCCTTCCCACAGTCAAGGAAGACATCTACGGCCGCAAACGCGATGCTGAGGGCAACATTTTGCCCGATCCCAGCGAGCAGGAGGCCACAGCCACCGGCCAGAAGTACATACCACCGCATCAGCGTGCTCTAATGGCCGCCGCCAGTGCGGGCAGCAACGAGAAGCAAGCGGAGCTGCTGGCACGCCTGCTCAAGCAATGCAAAGGTCTGCTGAATCGTTTGTCCGAGGCAAATCTGCACAAGATTGCCGCTGGCATTGAGGCGCTCTACATGAAGAATTCCCGCTACAACATGAACGAAACGCTGACGAAGTTGCTGCAGGAGGCGCTGCTTGGACCAACACGCACCCAGGAGCGCATGGTGCAGGAGCACATGGTGCTGCTGGCTTATTTGCACGCACAAATTGGCAGCGAGATTGGCGCACACTTTCTGCAGACATTTGTGGAGCTGTTCGATGGGCATCTGAAGCAACTGGCCAGCCTGGAGGTGGAGGACAAGCAGCTGAACAACATTGTGCTGCTCCTCTGCTACATGTACATCTTCAAGATCTACGAATTGAGTCTGCTGATGGAGCTGATAGGCCGCCTGGCGGATAATCTGTGCGAGAAAACCGTCGAGTGTCTGCTGCTGATCTTCCAATCGATTGGCTTTCGCCTGCGCAAGGACGATCCGTTGGCCTTTAAGACCATGATGCAGAATGTTCAGTCAAAGATTGCCGCCGCACCGCTGGAACTCAAGGAGAATCCCCGCCTGCGCTTCATGGTGGACATCCTAAATGCCGTGAAGAACAACAACATGAACAAGCTGCCGCAATACGATCCCGAGCTGGCGGAGAACCTACGAAAGCGTCTGAAGGCCATGCTCAAGAACGATCGCTATGTGGTGACGCTCAATATAACCCTAGAGGATCTGCTGCGCGCCGACAAGGTGGGTAAATGGTGGATCGTGGGCTCTGCGTGGACGGGAAACCTCAACGAAATGGGCGCAGCAAGCAAGCAGAAGGCAAACCAATCGCAATCCTCTGCGGGTTTTGCCGATCAACTGCTGGAGCTGGCCAAGAAGCAGCAAATGAACACAGCCGAGCGACGGAATATCTTTTGCATCATCATGAGCGCCGCTGACTATGTGGATGCCTTCGAGAAGATTCTCCACTTGTCGCTGAAGGATCAGCGTGCGGTGGCCTATGTGATCATACATTGTGCCTTGAACGAGCGCCGCGCTAATCCCTACTATGCACACTTGGCCCTCAAGTTCTGTCAGTACAATCGCAAGTATCAGCTGGCGTTTCAGTTTGCGGCCTGGGATCGCATCAACGACATTGAATCGCTGTCCAAGGCACAGATACGCAATCTGGCGAGCTTCCTGCAGCAGCTGATACTCGCCGCGGGCCTGCAGTTGTCCGTGCTCAAAGTGGTGGACTTCATGCAGCTGGAGCGGCTGAGCTTTTACTTTATGCGCGAGATTATGGTGAAGCTGCTGCTGTCCAGCGATGAGCGTGAGCTGCAGCAGGCATTCGAGCGCATTGCCAAGAACTCCAAGCTGCAGCAGTTCAAGCAAAGCATTCGCCTCTTCATGCAGCACTTTCTGCTGCAGCAGGAGCAGCTGGCGAAGCTCAAGCTGGAGGAGGTGCAACAGTTGCTGCTGCAGCAGCGCGTCGATCAACTGGACAAGCTCTTGGCCTACGTGGACTTGTAAATTACACTATAGAAAGAGACTTTTATTAAATTCTAGAGTAAAACATTAACAATATAAAGTTGCGACACGCTCAATCGAAGCTCTGCAGCAGATCGCGTGCCCGCTGGTAGCGCGTGGATTCTATCAGTTTCTGGCGCTCTGTTTCGTCCTCTAACTTTTCGCCCTCTTTGTCCAGCTTCTCGATGATCTCTTCGGCCAGTTTGCTGATCTTGGCACGCGCTGCACCCTGACTGCTGGCCAAGTACTCCAGTGCTATGTCCCAGAGCTCACCAGCGAGCTTCTCCTCATCGAAGGCCGTCTGCTGTATGGATATCTGGCGTAACTTTACGAATTTCCACTCCGCCCGGGAGTTTTTCCACTGCAGCAGGTACTCTTCGTTGCGTTTGGCCTCCTTGTTGGAGCTCTGATCCTTTTGCGCCTCGAGACGCTGCTGATGCTTCTGTTTCTTCTTCTGGCGCACGGTTACGACGGCTTTGGTGTTCTCGGGCTTGGAGGCCTCCTTCAGTTGTTCATCTGTGGGCAGGCTCTCCTCGTTTTCCTCATCATCGTCGCCCGCTTCCTTGCTGCGTTTCTCCTTGGTAGCAGCCGCCTCCTCGCGCTGCTTGCGCTTGGCAGCCTTGCGGGGACTGATCTCTGGATTATTCTCCTCCTCATCGGCGTCAGCTGCTGACTTTTTAGGGCGCTTTTGCTTGACCAATGCCTCATCTGCCTTCAGTTTACGTTTGCCTGCATAGATGTGTAAAGTCAATGAAGGTTTTTCCGGGACAGAGTGCTCCACTTACCTGCTGGTGGCGTCTGTTCCTCCATTTCTGGTTCCACAATCAAACTTTTGTTGGCCACCTCGTCGTCGCTGATATTATTTGCGGCAGCTGCTGCTCTCTCGTGCTTGCGCTTTTTGCCCTTGGGTTTTGGTTTGGTCTCCACCTCAGAACGAGCCATTGTTTGCCTATATTGGATGTGTTTTGGCTGAGAAATTCAAATAAATTCTCACGTTTTACGAAAAATGCGTTTTTCCTAGTGCGCGCTATCGATGACATCGATGATTACAGATATATGCGATAAATAAATGTCATCGATACATCGTGGATTTAAAACCAATGTGGAAACTTAATCTTCTAACAAAATCTTGCCCAAGGAACGGCTAGCTCTTTTTTTTTGCAGCTCCAAGGTTTAACTATCGATATATCGCATGCCCGCCATATGTTTGACCGGCAAATTACACAACACTAAAGCTGCCCAAACAAACCAATCCAAAATAAATCAGAATTTCTTAAGTTAATTCGTGTAATAAAAAAAAAAAAACGAAACGTAATCAATCTAATAAATAGTATCTAATTGTGCCTATGCAGAGCTACCGTTGCTGTTTTTACGCGGTGTGCGACCCCATTTCAACGCGAAACCAAAGTTCCCCATTGGAAGGTTTTGCGGCGCGCAAATTTGTTAACCCGCGTGCCGTGAGTGTGTGTGATAGTTATTAATAATTCAAATGATGTAATTAAGTGTTTAGTATAGGGTTTACAAGGTGCTCAGATATATGGTTCAATCAATCAGCCATTTCTAGGTAAGTTTATTGTTTTAAGTTTGGCCCTGGCGGCACATACGCAACAACAAAAGGTGGTTTTTGCTTCCCCCCTCGCCTATTTCTCAACCGGTAAATGCAACTGTTTATCGTTGCGTCGGTGTGGCGCGCGCCTGTGTGTGCGTATTAAAAAGTGAATTTGTGTGTGAAAATGAAAATAAATTTCGAAAATGGAAGGATATGCGTGGAGTTGGATCATTTTGGCTGCTGAGAAGGAAGGATATTGGAAAGGATTCCATCAAAACAGCTGATAAACGCCATAGACTTCCCAGCCGTCGAATGTCAAGGTGAGTGTGCGCCCCACCGTTACGTTACACTTTAAATTTCCATGATTTTTCCGGCCCGCAACACACACACTTTTCACTTTCATTCTGTGGGACGCCGGCGCGCCATGCCTTGTGCCCCCTTTCTCTCTCACTCTTTCAATCTCTAAAAACATTTTCATCTGCTTTGAGTCGTTTTTTTCTGTTTTCTGTTGGCAAAAATAGCATTTTCCTCCGTCGAGTGTTTTCCGTGTGTTCTGAGTGGAAAAGCTCTCATTTGTTCTTTGGCTACTTGGCTGTGATTCCGTTGCGGATTGGTCTTTCCGTTCAGTTTTGCTTTAGTTGTCTTCCCGTGCGCCTCGCAATCATCGCCTCGTCTCCCGTCGTCCGGGGTGTTCTCTTTTCCCGTTTCCTACGCGCCCGTTTTGGTGGATTTTTTGGGGCACTTTTCATAGATTTTGCGCCTTCTTCTCTTTTGGGGAAATTAGCAAATAAAGGAAGTCATTTTTTAAACGCATTTAAACGGTTTTATCTTCGGTCGGTTCAGTGCGCGCGCCTTCTATTGACATCTTGCGTATCGCTAATTGGATTGTCTACGAAACGTGCAAACAGCGGCGGTCGGGACCTGTCACAACACCAACAACAAAACGTCGACTTCCAACTCTGCGATAACTTCAGCCGGGTTACGGTTATTTCCCTGTACGCCGCGAGTTGGTGCCTGCCCCCCGCCCTGTACGTCGAGTCGTTTGAGAGTGTTGTGTTTTGTGCCCGCAGTAATCAATAGTTTCTGTTGTTTCGCGCGTTTTACTTTCTAACATACTTTGGGTCCTATCCCAAACCCCCCCCCTTGTCACCCGACCGTGCCCTAAACCCATGCCCGTTACCCCTTCTTGCGCGTCGTCGTGTGTGTTTCTGTGACAACGTGAGCGGCCTAAACAAAAGCCACAAAGAAAGGTAGAAATCGCAACAGAAGAGCGACTAACTTTCAGTTCTGGAATGATAAAAGTAGCTCCACATCCACATCTACATATAAATGCCCAACAGTACGCGCCATAAGTGTAAGTACCAGCGTTGGCTATGTAAACATCCGTTGAAGATTACATCAGTACACAGAGAGTGATCCAGAGAGAGGTGTGGCTGTGTTGCTTTCATCATGAATCAGTTTTTTGTATCTGTATCTATTCCATTTGCTTAGTTTCTCTTACGCATTTTGTATCTATTTGGCAGCCGCATCTATCTCCCCATCTTTGTGTGTGTGTGTTCGTGTGCTTTTCCAATAGTTTTCCTCTCTATCTCTAAAATTGGATCATCTTGTTGGCAATTAAGGCCTCCCACCAAAAATAAGTTCAACTAAAAATCATTTGTTGGCTTCAAATATGACGGCAGGGCAGAATGCCTTAAATCATTTCGTTTGGCAGTTTTTATGCCTCTGATGAGTTGAAAATGGTGGGATGTACATATATCATTCGAGTAGCTCTAGAAATGTCAAAAAAAGTGTGAACAGCTTTTTTAGGTGGATGGAATTCTGTCATACATGGAACTAGATGTTTTTTGAGAAGTCTTTATGTAGGTTAATATTGATTCGTATATCTGCATATTTTCTTGCTCCACCAAATCTCCAGCCAATTCCCTTCATTTCTCATAGCTTTTTCTTTTCGTTTTTTTTTGTTTCTTTTTGCCGCACTCATAAAATGTATCTTTTGAGCACAAATGTCAAATATTGCTTTTTAAGGGTCACCGGCTAAATGTTCTTTGGCTCTCTCTCTGCCTATTTATTTTTCAATGTTGCATGCCACAAGCATTTTGCTTTTGTTTGCCAAAAGCCGCCCTTTGGCACTGCATTTCTTTTGAGTGTTTTTTTCTAGCTATTTTCCCCCCCTTGGGGTTCTATCACCCTTAGTGTAAAGACTCAATCTGCACGAGAGGCCGAGCTTTAACCCACACTTAAAATTTGTTAGAAAACCCATTCAGAAAAACGCAATTTTCTTTATGTGGCCTACGCATCTTTGTATCTTTTCCAGACAATTTCTAATAGCTTTTTGATTTATACCCAAGAGAAAAACAAATAGGAAAACATTTGCTTTATTTTGATTTTTGAATGATTCTAGAAGCCAGCAGATCTTTATTTCCATTCGTATTGACGTCAAATTGTTTATGCAGGCCACAGGGCCGACATTTAGTTGATGGCCGACTGGTTTATTTATTCCTTATAGATACGCAAATACCGGGACAACGTATCTGCTGCTACTGTTTGTAATTTCTATATAGGGAAATCAAGTGCCGCCAAATTCATTCGTTATTCAAGTCAGGTTTCAACATCGAACTTTGCCAAATACCGCGACTCGAGGGCGTCACAGATTTGCGCGTTCCAAACGCCATTGAAATATTAATGCAATCGTACACTTTTTTTTACTCTCCGCTTTTTAATACACATTCTATAGCCATATTCCATATATTTTTTTGGCTTAAATGGCGTCGCGCCGACACGCGCACTTCCGTCAACCCAAATATATATATTTTTTTTTGTTTCCCAAAGAAAATCCCAAAAAAATAACAATCGAAAGAATACAATTTGTTCTTTTGGCGACATGGGAGAGCAAGTGTTAAAAAGTGACAGATTGTTCGGATGGAGGAAAACACGTACTCAATAGCTATATAATATCAGGGTCTTTTTACGATATATCTCGTTATTTTTGTCTCATTAAATTATGAAAAATTGTTCGGTCAAAACACTGAAACAGTTCAGACTGCTATAATGAGACTTTCGCAAAGATTAATGGCAGCCGAAGATGTGTGTAAAAATTCGCTTAAATGTCGAAAGGGTTAATGATCTTTCGGAAAATATAACGGAACGATTTTTTATTTTTCGCCAATTTTGGGAGGGAAATTGTGCCAGTTTTGGTTACAATTATTGCCCATAAAAATGCTTTAAAATAATTGAATATTTGAGGATAAAATCTCTCGATATTAAGATCACAAAAACCCTTTAAAAATGCTACCAATAATTCATTTTTATTTGAATCTTTAATCTAGTTTTATTGCCCAAATCCTCAAGTTTTTCATTCTCTGAAAATTTCAAAAAATAATTTTCTTTTTTTTCTCCAACCCAAGGGAATATTTAGCTCAAAAATACGCGTCTCTAAATAAATGTTTGCGTGGAACGTAGCGTAGAGTCCCATCTAGACATTAATTAGCATTAAGCAGACATCTAGATGCATATAGAAAAAGAAACAAATACGATTTAGATACACTTGAAAAACAACAAAAGGAAAAGCATATTTTAAACGTTCGAAAGCCAGAAATAGTTTAATTATCTGACAACATCACGAGAGGTACAAAATATTTGCAAAAAAAAACTCAAATGTGAAAATACTTTAAGTGAATGACCCTGAAATGCGTGTGGGTTCGGTTTTGAAGCGAATTTGAGCGTGAAAAATAATTGGAACTGGGTCAAATATGAAAAGGGGGCATGTGCGTTGACTCTGTTTCGGTTACTCTCAGGCAATGAGGTCAAAATAAGAGATAGGCTGACCCACCCGCTAGGCCGACTGTCATGGCAACGAACTTGTCGTGGGGGGAAACCTCCTTCATTTCCGATAAACAATTCAGTTAAAACAATTGCCAGGGACAACGATAAACAGGCGGCCGCGTGTCAATGCGTTTTCCATTGCGTACGCGTAGATCTCAAGAGTTTTCCCTTAGAGAAACGCTTTTCTTGTGCTGCGGCTTTTCTGCGTGAAAGTGAAAGTCCATGTGTGGTGTGCGTCCAATTTAATGTACAATTTTCTTACATTTTCTGTTCATTAATCTTTTTTTTGCGTTTTTTTTTCGCATTTCTTTGCGATAATGTTTTGATTGTCTTTTGCTGGCATGTGCAACGATCAATCGTTGATTGATTCGATTTGCCTGCCTGCCTGACCAACAGAAATGTGTTTCTGCGGTTGCAACAAATTGAAATTACGTTAATTAGCATTTCACGTATCAAATTTGATTTAAAAAATGCCAATTTTAGTCGCTGGAAGTTCGAAAATGTCTACAACTATCTTTTACTATGCTTCCATTTTGATTATATGTATCTTTTGTGTAAACTTAATGATCTTTCCGTCTGGAGTTCTTTGTAGGCTTTTGTTGGTTTTAATGATTAAGATTAAGATAAATGATCTTTTGTTGATGGTTTGTTGGCTTTTGCTGATTGATT